CATAGAAGCAACATCCAGCAACCATACCAAAGAATCTTCTACTACCCAGAAGAAAGGAAGCTTCATCTCCTACTTCACAAGAGAGAAGTTTTAGCATCCGAATCATGAAGAATCTCCTACTTCACAAAAGAGCCTCCGTCTTCTACTACACAGAAGCAAAGTTCAGAAACTGTAACAAAGAATCTTTCTACTACATAGAATAAACTAAACTCTGAATATAGAATTCGACCTTTGAGGTATTTCTCTTCTACACAACAACAGATATCCAAGAACTCTTATATCTTATACTTCTTCATCACAGAAGCATAACCCCATCCTATACTTACACATAAGAAGCATCCAACTGAGGAAAAAGAGTCTGAAATGGTTTTCCAAACATGGACTGGACCTTGGAAAAGAATCCAAACAAGTACCAAACATCAAACTTCAAACCCCTTGCAGTATTCAATATCTTGACTAAATGCCCCAGAACGGGAGACACATCTAGCATTCGCATCGAAATTAGGGAAGAAATTTGTTGGAGGATGGCCCAAAGCACAAAGCTTAATCAACTGAGCTCCTAATACACGAGGAAGTAACTGGATACAAGGTATGAAGATTTTATCAACCTGTTTCTCAAGCTTTTTTTGTCTCTGCTGGTAAGTTTTACCCCATGGGTTCACTTGGAGACCAGAAACTAGTTGCTTAGTAAGAAAATCCGAGAACACAAAGCTCTGGGTGAGACCCACAAAGTATCTCATGATTTAAAAATGTCCCATAGGCTGGGGATGACTGACAGCTCCTGTTGCAATAACGTATACATGATCACTTTTCTTTTGCCGACACTGTCTTCAAAACTTTCATACCCGACTCAACCGAGTCTTCAACTGGCTATTTTCCCTGTTGAGGATTCCTGACTACATGCCATTGCTTGCATATCCCAAATAAACAACCCCCTCTCATTGAACTCCCTAAGGAGTTATTCCACTGCTTTCTCGGATAACAGAGTGGTGAGAAGTCAAGATTCACAATTCTGAAGAGAAAATATCGGGCCTGAGTAAGGATTCCCCATTCTGAGTACCTTCTGAGTACCTTCCATGGATGCACGAAGATGCATGAAGATGCATGATGGGAGTGAGAGAATTCCTCTTCTGATATGATTTGGACACCACAGTCTTTGGATTGATCTCGTCTTGGGCCTTGTCTCTGGATGACGTACTCTCTTCAATCGAATGATCAATTGCCCCAGAATAAAATGCCTAGAAGATTCTTTCAGGAGAACAACTGAATGCTTTTTCAAGTGAAAACTGCATCATCAGGCATACTACGCCAAAAAAAACTAATACAGTCTGTCTTTTATCAAAACAAAAGAAACATCCACCTGGTGAAAGAGAGTTTTGGAAGAGACGCCAAACAGGTGTTGGGTTTTTATATTTCAACTCCTTTGTAGTCTTCAATATCAAAAACCGGGTACCCCAGAATATGGGATGCATCTAGCATACATATCGTAATCAGAAGAGATGTTTGTGAGAGGAAGACCTCAAAGATCAGAGCTAGGAAGAGCTGGGAATAATAGGATGTAATGCATTGGGCTCGCATTAGCATGCTCATCAGGGTTCTTGTGTCTTGGCTTAAAAGCTTTGCCCCCTGGATTTACTTAGGGAATAAAGACTGGCTTTTGTTGAACAAATTAGGGAACACAAAGTTATGGAGTATGCCCCTGATTAAAAAGTCTGATGCCCCGGTGTGGCAACCATATCTTATGTTGGTCAAAAAGAACGAAGCACTGATATAAGATCACATAGTAAATGGGAACCATCTCCTGGTAAGATGTTCTCAGGATTGCTTAGCACTCCATGGTTGGAAGCAATTCCCAAAAGAGGATGAGGAAACAAGAGAACCTGCTGCGGCAGTAACTTTATTGATCATCCTCAGAGCTTTCGTGACCTGGATCGTCTGAGTTTTCAATAAAATATCTTCCTGTTCGAAGAAATTTCTGACCACGGGCCAAAGCTTGCATGTATACCCGGAGTTATTCCATAATTGATCCCTAAACATGTGGCACAAGAAATCAAATTGAACCTCCGAGGAGAGCACCATGTCTGAATAAGAATCCCCAATCTTCGAGTACCTGTTATGGATGAATATACATGGGGTGCATGAATGGATGCCATGTCATGTTCCTTAATTCCCAAGGAACTTACGTGCTTTGATTTTACGTAAGTAAAAGACGGAAAAGTTTGGCATAAAGCTTACAAATACGATTCCTTGGAAATCACAGAACATGTGTTCTAAGTATGTGGTCAACCATGTCATGTATGCAAAGGCATGAGATCAAATGGGTTCAAGGTTCCATCATTTCTGAATATGATTGATGCACTGCTTCTGAACCATGTGAGTATCATCAGATTAGAGGTCTGGCGTGGCTTCCGCGTATATAAGATCCAAGTACTATGTAGATAACCCATTGTACAGGGTCAAGGCTTCTGAAACATCAGATAATGTTGAGCATTTTCTGAATGCGCTGGGAATGCCAATATCAAAGGGATCGAATGAACTTCCAAGTAATCAAGTCAGGAGCTCAGAAAATAAATCTGAGAACCAAATAGTCACCAACAGAATATCATATGCATAAGTCATTGACAGAAGTCCAGAACATGATCATTAGAACCAATAGTCGCTGTCTGATCACAGTCTCTATCTGATCATGAGTCACCATTTGAACATAGCACCAATTGTACCTGTAATGACAAATCCCTCCCCACTCACGGGTGAAGACTAGGTCAGGGTAAGACAATGGTAACTCGAAAATCACGGGTCCTCTTGAAAGTGCTATGGGCTTACCCACAGACGTGGGTGCCAATAGTAATTCATTTGAACCTCATCCGAGCGTGGTATATGACAAGACTGCACTAATAGGACCACGTCCTATAGCCGTCATGCCCCCACTCTATTCCTAGTGTCCTAGTGCACTCTGGCCTGGGTACTGGGCCTTTTACCTCAAAAGTGACATCCCCACCCAACATAGAGAACAGAGTCCAGCATAATAGATAACAAATAGGGAAAGCAATAAAATGCAATGCAAACTTATGCTCAGGCAAACATGTACAAATGAGTAAACTGAAAGCATAAAAATAAACACCCAAAGAAAAGAAAGCAAGAGCTAGGAGCGACTCCGGGATGGACCAGCATTTGGTCGACCTATCCCCAGTGAAGTCGCCAGCTGAAACAACCGGCTGAAAATCATCAAAACAATGAAGTCGCCATCGAACGTCTTTTATCCCAAAGGTAGGGAAAGGTAAACATCGAGAAAACCTGAGAAGGGTGAAATCAAGGTCGAACGACCAAGAGATAAGGGTAAGGGAGTCTGTTACGCAAGGGGAAGGTATTAGCACCCCACACGCCCGTAGTACTCTACGGTATCCACTCTTGTTGTCTATCTTATGGGTGTGTTTAATCTATATCTAAATTGTACAGGAAATGCATGCAAAATAAAAGAGAAAAGAATGTAGGGAAAATGAAAAGTTGTGCTCGTTCGGGCCCTACCCCGATGCCTACGTATCCTTTTTGAGGAATCAGAGCAGCCGTAGTTCGGCTTATATGTTTTAGTTTGTTTGTATTTTTTACTAAACAGTATTAATTTCGCCTTCTGCCGCAACTCGACCGTTGGAGACTTACGCGTCAGCACAAAAGTGAATTAACATGCTCTTCTGAAAAGTTTGGAAAGAAATGTGCCTGGACGCACAAAAAGTTTTGAATTCGTTTGTTTTTGAATGAACGATAGTAATTTCGCCTTCTTCCGCAACTCGACCGTTGGAGACTTACGCGTCAGCAGAGAAGTGAATTAATATGCTCTTTTGAAAAAGGTTTTTTGAAAGGAAGGCCCGAAGGAAGAAAGAATTTTATTGGTTGATATTTTTGCTTGTAGATAATAGCTAGTTAACCTCAAGAGAGAGATTTTAGCCATTTCTCTACTTATTCATGAAATGAGTCTTTGAGACTTAAACCACACCAAAGCTTAGAATAAGAGATCAATAAGGTCGAGAAGAGACCCGCTTATCGTCTCACATACTTAATGAAGATATGATTCTCGTCAGTAGATTTTTAGTATTTTGAAGTTTTGTAAAAAAAAAGAAATTTTTGTTTTAATGTATATGCAAAAAGGGAAGGAAAAGTCCAATGGGACTAGTCTATTCCTAAACCTAATTTTATCATGCGTTAGTAGACCTAAAGTTAGAATTTTGGGGGAATTCTACCTAATGTTAGCATGTATATTGTTTGCGATAAAGAAATGCAATAAAGTGGGAAATGAGGGATAAAATAAGGCCACGATGATACCGAACGGAGAAGGTCCGTTGCCTTTTCAAAGTCACACAAGTGATAAGAAAACTCTACCGAAAGCTCCTCCGCATGAGTGATCATAGAATTAATCTCCAAGCATTCCATATTGCAAAAATTGCATCGATACTATCACAAAGATCTTGACTAAAAATGGAAACGAAAATGGTTACTAAACATAAACACTAATAGAAAATTCCAATTAAAATTCTAAAAAGAAATTCTAGAGAAATTCTACTATATGCTACCATCTTTTATTATATTTTTTTTTTATCAATTAAGAGAAAAAAAAATAAACTAGAAGAAAAACTAAAAATAAAAAAAAGTTAGAAAAGTCAAGGGGTGTGAATTTGGCATAGGGAGTATTGCAATGAGACTTGGGCGTAAGGCCCGTCCAACTTGAGCCCAGGAGGATCCTTTTTTGTACAAGGCAAACCTGTTTCTAAAAAAAAATGTCGAGCCTATGGGAGTGTAAGCAACAAGGCCCAGCTCCACAACACCAATATCCAATCCAGATTTTTATTTCACCTATTAATATATGTTAAATGAAATAAAACTATAAGGAAAAAAAACAAATAAATAAAAAAAAAAGATTAGGGTTCATCGTTGGTCTTCATTTTCATCAAAACACAAACCTCCCTACCCAAACCTTCTAGCGCCGCATAGCACCCTCCATGCCATCTATGTTCTCGCGCAGCGGAGGCCTCGCCATTCACCATCATCAGCTTCGTCCAAACTCCCTCATTCCTCTTCTCTCTTATTCTGTCGTTCACCTTCTCATCCTCCGATTCTGTCTCAGTCATTTTTCAATCGCGGCTACAGCTATTTACGAGTCACCTAGTAGCTCCACTAATTCCGCCTCAAGCTCCTTCAATTCCGTCACAACGGCTTCGTCTTCTTCTCAATTAGTTTCTCACTTATATTGGAAGACAAGTCCGGCGCGTGTTCAAAACTCAGGTATGCGTATTTGATTCCATTTTCTCTTCTTCCCGGAATCCAATTACGTTTCGATTATTGCTCAAGCGTTTGTTGTTGTTGTTGTTGATTGAAGGTACGGTGAAGATGAAAGATGATTTTCGATGGTAGTTGGATTTGTTGTTGGTGTGACGCGATAACGATGAAAGACGAAGCTTTGTTGATGAAATTGATTGTCAGAGATATGTTGCAACAAGATGATTGCAGATGGACTTTTGCGATGAAGGTTGCATATTCAAAATTTGAAGTGGGGTGGAAATTTTTTGGGTTACAGTAAGGAGTGTCAAGATTGAAGGTGGAGGTGAAGGATGAATGGTGATAATGGTTAAAGATATGGCTGTGGTGCAGATTGGTTGTTCTTGAATGTCATAGCCTAATGCGTTTCTTGAAATGACGTATAACGAGGTTGTGATATCCAATTTATTGAAGATGAAAGAGGGTGATGAAGAGTAGAGTAATTCTGGTGAAGGGGCGATTTAAAGAACATGAAGATGAAGTTGATGAAATTCGATTGGAGGAGTAATTTGTGGTGGTTACAGAGAAGAGTAAGAACTGTGAAGAAGTTTCAGAAGATGATGAAGCAATATTGATGATTATGCGATCTCAGAGAGAATTGGAAGGTGAGTTTTTTTTGTGTTGAATCATAAAATCATCCTCCTCCAACTGAATGATAATCTCCCTGTTATATAGATTTTCTGCTATATTGTTTAGAAGATGGGATTTGGTTAGAAACTGTTTAGAGTTTGTTAGGAGTTTGTTATGGAATTTTATGTTAGAATTCTGTTAGAAAGTTTTGGTTAGAAGTTTTTTAGTTCCCAAGCTGTTGAGCTGAACTTAGTAGAAACTTGTAGAAATTTTCCAGATTTTTTGGTGAGTCTTCTCTTGTATTCAATGAGTGAAGTTTCTCTTTGAGTTTTTTTTGTGTGAATGAATCATGAATCCTAAATCACTTCTCCCTCTCCCCTTTTGTAAAATTCTGTTATGAGTTAGTTATTAGGATCCCTTGGGTGATGTTGAAGTTAGAAGTTAGTTTTGGCTCTGATTATGGATTGTTTTGATGCGATTTTACAGGTTGAGTTCCAAATGGCCAGTAGGACTTGTGTTGAAGCAGTGTGAAGATTATGGTAAAGAGGTAAGGTCAAACTGTGGGATTTCGTGGAAGACATATGAAGATTAGGCTTTGGTGTTGTATAGGATTTTTATAATTTCTTTTATAACATGATGGTAAAATTGTAATGAAAATGTCTTGAATGCCATCTTGTATTGTAATGTAGTATGGAATCTATTCCCACCAATCCATAATTTTTTTTATATTCTGAAATTGATGTGGAAGAAGGTAAAGACTTTTTCCTTTTGAAAGACTTTCCAAGCCAAGTCACCCACACACACATTCGCTTCACGATAAATCTTCTTGCAAATGTCCTCCTTAAAACTCTTCATTGCATCTCTAATGTTTTGGGTTAGAACTGTCTGAGGATGATTGAGCAGCACATGTCCAGTTAACAATTTATAAACATCACTACTGTTAGTTTGGATCTTGAATTTTTGGAAACCATTGTCTCTAGCCACCCCAATACCTTCACACACACTCCACATTTCAGCTGTGAGAGGGTTGCAACTTCCTAGATAATTAGAGTAACCAACAATCCAATGTCCATCATGATTTCTTATCAAACCACCAATGCTAGCAGTCCCTGCGCCAGAAACTGCACCATCAATATTTAAAGCAACCCAAGTCTCCTCTGGGCTTCCACTTTATCTATACAATCACCTTTTGGCTAATATGCCTCTTGATGAAAAGTCTGGTACTTGCTTCATAATTCTTGACTTTGTCCATAATGCACCTGTTCAATCGCCTATAGCATTTCTGTTCAGACTATTTCCAATTAAATTCAGCTCACACCAATTGTCACAGTTAGTACTAAAGAAATCAGTAGAGTCTTTCTCATCAACCAGCTTATGCCACACCTTTCTAGCAATGCCAAAATCTCTAAGGACATGAAGGGTAGACTCCTTCTCCTGATGACAATCTTTACAATAGGGATCCCCAAGCCCCCTCACATTCATGTACTATTTAGTCTTAATCCAACCATGCTTGACTAGCCAGATAAAACATCTTACCCTTTCAGGAGCATTAATCTTCCATATTTCCACCCAATTCCCAGTCTTGTTCATCTCACTCATGTGGCTATGTCTGTCATAAGCACTTGAAATAGAAAAACAACCATCTTTCGTGTCTTTCCAAAGGCAAAAGTATTTACCTGTCATGCCCATTGGAGGATGGATGGCATAGAGCCTCGAAATTGTAATGAAATGGACTGAACATTGAATTGTTTAGTATAAAAGCGATGTTCAATTTGATGTCAAAAGATTCTCACATCATAATGTACAAAAACTTTAATAGCTCCCCTAAAGTCCACACTTGCAACATACATAGCTAGATTATGCACCAAATCATGCATTTTGAAAGTGAAACCAACGTCATAAACGACAAAATCTTGAAGAAAAGATATTGACAGCAGTTCAAACAAATATTGGTTGGCACTATATTTCAACGTTTGATTTTGATTTCTGTTTTGAGTTGGAAGAAAACCAAGGGCTCTCCATAGTGATGTTACACGAAAACTATCAAATGCATGACACTTTGGGTAAGTGGAGAACAAAGCAAAGCATTTCTTCATATCCTATGACATTTGATCATAGCTTAACTTAAGTGCAGGTAAAATCCCATATGTGCCCGGTAAATTCCAAATTTCGTTGTCTTTCATGTTTCCCCAATACCGAATTGTTTCATATTTTGAAAAAAGTAAACTCCCAACTGTTCTCACAGCCAAGGGAATCCCACCACATTTTTTCATAATTTCCCTTCCAATATCTACCAAATGTGGTTACCTCCTTGCTTCTCCTTCTTTAAAGGCCCGTTAAAAAATATAGAAAATGAATCTTCAAGAGAAAGGCTTTCTAAGTTGTGCGAGGAAACGGTTCCCGTCATGGGAGCAATCGAGTGGCTATGCGTAGTAAATAAAATTTTACCTCCTAGAGAACCCACTTGTATTAGGTGCGCAGTGACGACTTGAGACATGGATAGAATAATGTTCAAAATGTCTTCAAAATGAAACAAAGCATGATCTTCCAATAGACATAAGAAAATGAACCCAAATCTTCAGACTTAACAAATAAAAACCTTGCAACTTGATTTTGAGATGAAGAGAATAACCTCGTAGCTTGATAAAGAAGAAATCCACAACAACCATCAATCAAAACCCTAAATTCACAATTCAATGTACCAGAAGAATCAGTCTAGTTTGATAAACACCTCGAACCAGAAGAAAGCCCGAGCTTCACAACCAATGATTCTCTGAACCATGATTCAATAAAACTTGAATTGGTTAATTAAAGAGTGGATGAATGCCATGTGAAATTCATTAAGCCTGATCCAATGATAGGCACACTTATATGAGGAAACGTCTTGATTGGAAGACCATGTATGCTAAGTCACGCCCTTGAGTTCTTGAAAAGAAAAACCTGTAACATGTTGTTTATCAGAAGATAATAGCCTTGTTGCTTGAGGGAGAAGAAGTCCAAAAATGAGAATGAACCAAAACCCTAATTCCACAACTTGCTGCCTGAATAAGAAATCATATTTTATTAGGTACGAGCGCCTTAACCACTGTGAAACCCTAGTATCGCACAACCACTGAACTTTGAACCTCAGAGCTATATTGAATGAAATGTATGCCATGTTAGTGACCTAATGAAATAGATGCAGATGAATGCAAAAGTCTAAGCCAAAATAAAAGAAATTAGGAGGGCAAATTTTGGGGTGCAACAGTGTGCAAGTATGATTCCTTGTCGGACCATGAAATATAATTCTTCCCAATTTAATACGAGATTAACTTTTATGCATCGTTCAGTTACCATTTCAAAGTTTGATAAGCATCCTTCAAAACTTTGCCCAAAAACAGAGAAATCATCCATAAATACTTCCATGACGCCATCTATAAAATTAGCAAAAATTGACATCATGCACCTTTGGAATGTTGCGAGAGCGTTACATAGTCCAAACAACATTCTTCGATAGGAAAATGTACCATAAGGACAAGTGAATGTAGTCTTTTCTTGGTATTCAGGGTGTATCAAAATTTGTAAAAATCCCGAATAACCATCTAAATAGCAAAAATGAGAGTGTTTAGCCAACCGTTCAAGCATTTGGTCGATAAAGGGTATAGGAAAATGATCTTTTCAAGTGGCTTTGTTTAATTTCCTATAGTCAATAAACATTCTCCATCCGGTTTGAGTACGTTGTGCCACAAATTCTCCTTTTGCATTACTGACAACTGTAACACCTCCCTTCTTTGGTACAACATGTACTGGGCTAACCCATTTACTCTCGGGTATCAAATATATGATTCCTTCTTCTAACAACTTTTGCACTTATTTCTTAACTACATCACTCAGAACTGGATTTATTCTTCTCTGATGTTCTCTCAAAGTCTTGCAGTCTTCCTCAAGCATAATGCGATGCATGCAAATTAAGGGGTTTATTTCTTTTAGATCAGAGATGTTATAGCCTAAAGTAGTCGGGTATTTCCTTAGGACATGTAATAATTTTTCTGTTTCTATCAATCCTAAACCTGTGTTGATATGATGGGTTGTTCAAGTTCTGTATCCAGGAATTCATACCTTAGATATTTTGGTAATGTTTTAAGTTTGACAGCCGGTTTCCTTAGGCAGGGCATAGGGTCAGGAGTTAGCGCGAGATATTCACTCATATTGTCATCTTGGTATTCTCCAAGCCAATTATCGTTTTCAAGGATAAGATGTATTGTAATTTTTAAAGCTTCTGAATATTTGATCTGTTGTTTCTTCATTTCTTTGACGCACTCATCAAGTACATCCAAGAAACACCATGAATCATCTATAGTTGGTTCTTTGAAGAATTATGAGTGAATAAATTTGACTTTTTCTTCGCCAACCTCAAATGTGAGTTTACCTCTTTTTACATCTATGATAGCTCCGACGGTGGCGAGGAATGGTCTTCCTAATATAATAGGGATGTTGGAGTCTTCCTTGATGTCCATAATAATGAAATCAATGG